CCCAATGACAGCATGTTGTGCTTGCTATGTAATAAGCTATATCATACAACCACTGTAGCCCAGATCTAGTTTTGTACAGTTTTTTAGATGCACTATATAATATTGACTGCATCGAACCTGCATTGCAGTGTGGACAGTTTCTATACATCTGTACATGGAAAGGGTTTCACTGTGAACATCCATAATGAGCCAATTAGTTCTACACAGATGCGGAATTGTTACTGAGTTATGTTTATTCATGTTCTACAGTGTAACATTCCTTGCTTTCTTGCTTCCTTTGTTTCAGGCTTAGATAAGATTGAAATAATACTGGATTTAAATGATAAATAAGGCTGTTTGATTGTACTACGTTTTGTGGCAAAAGACAAGAAAAAATGGGGAAACCCCCCATAGCACCAGATTACAAAACAACCCGAGTTGTAAAATGAGGCTATCATGTTTTTGGGCTTCTAAACACGTTTACGTATTATACAGACACAGGGATGCCAACATCATTCTGCCAAATCTACTTTTGAAACTGATTCCTAACCTGTCTTCTGTCCCTATATGATATTTGCAGTAGTAGTTGTATAGCATTGGCACATCGCAGGGGACTTCTAGGGGTCCAGTTCTGACACGTGCTGAGCACTCAACACCCACTGATTAGCCACGAACTCCAAGGATGCTCTTGGTTTTCGAATGAGCATTGTAAGGTATGCTTGTTGCACAACTGTGAATTCCTGGCCTTAAGTGGAGATACTGAGGGTCAGGCACTAAAAGGTGGCAACTACTCTGCACTAAGCAACAAACCTCATGTTTCAGGTAGTTGAGAGAAGAGAGGTGGGAATATTGCTAGAGAGAATTGTTTCCTCTTTCGGGGTGATGTTAGGGAATTTTTGACAATTGTTTGGGACACTGATTTTATAAAGGTCCCAAGAGAGTTAACTTTCCAGAGGAATTAAAACATTTTAACCTCATATATTTATTTGCCTGCACTGAGTAAGACCAAATTATACAGAGGTCTGGGGTATGAACTCAGACCCTTCAACAAGGACATTGAGATGGCTGTCAAGTGCATAGTCTTATCAGGGTTCATCTTCCCTCATCTCATGAGAGACACAAAAGGCCAACTACAACCTTGGTGTAGGCAGGAGCAGCTCCACTAAAGTCCAGAGAATTGCTCTAGGTTTTACTAAAGCTAAATTTGGCCCAAAGGCTATAATTTTGTCTCACCTTCTTATTAATCCATTGATCCTTTCCACAGATCTTTGACTGGTCTGCAGAGTGCATTTGTTCCCTTTCACAACTAGTGGCTAGGAGTCCCAGTCATGGATCAGGATCCCATTGTACTAGCACTGTACAAACACAAAACAAAAAGAAAACCCCTTCCCCAAAGACTTTACAATCTCAGTACACAGGTAGTGTACTTTACTTTAAGGCATTTTTGATGCCTATCGCATTGTACAGACATCCCAGACAACGAGGACGAGGTGGTTCTCAGATGTCATTTTTGGATTGAGAGTAAAATGACCAGAGTCCATGAAATATCCCAAGTATCTCCTAAGAATACAAAAATATTCCAGAATGATATCCCAAGCCTATTTGTTCTGCTTTTAGACAGCATACTTTCTGCTGGCTTTGGGCGCACAGAATAGAGACACAAACACCTTTCCTCATGGAGTGCTCATCACCCAGTATAAAGAATCCTATCAGACCTGTGTAACCAGGTCTGTCATCTAATAAACCTGCCCACCTGCTGTCATTAAGTGTCAGTAATACAGGCCAAATACATTTCTCTTAACAGAAGAAAAAAGGCAAAAGTACCTGTACAATTTTTCATCATTAAAAATACAACAACACATATAAAAGTATGTTCACAGTGGTCAGATTTCTTACCAAAAGGTTTGCCCCACGGTCAAACATAATAAAAGGTCATGATGGCAGTATCCTCACTGAGAGTGATGATATTAAAAACAGGTGGAGATTTTACTGTGCCAATCTGTATGCCTCACCAGAGCCATTCATAAGACAGCATGACAGAAAAAAGAGTTTGGTGCCAGAGCCATCAATCCTGCAAGAGTAAGTGGTGTGTGATATTATGAAAATGAAGCCTGGAAGAGCAGCAGGAGTAGATAACATGCCTGCAGAATTGTTAAAAGTGATTGGCAAACGTGGTACTAATTTTATGTGGAAAATTTGAAATGATGTATGGACAACTAGAAATTGGTCAGAGGACTGGATGAAGAGAATTGTTCTGCCCTTCCCAAAGAAGGGAGACATACCAGAGAGTAGTAACTATTGTACCATCTCCCTGATATTGCACAGAAGCAAAGTTCGGCTCCTCATAATCCAGGATGGCATGAAATGAAGGATTAAAGCAGAACTAACAACCAAATCTCAAAACCTGTCACGTAATTGAAAAATGCAGAGAATACAATCACCCATTGAGCAGGTGTTTCTTTCTCTACTCAGAAGGGTCCGATACCAACCAGTATCTTTGGAGGATACTGCTAGACATGGGGACTCCAAAGCATCGAACTCATCACAAGTCTCTACCACCAACAGCAGACCATGATGCAAACAATTGTAGGCAACAGTGAATTCTCTTTTCCAGAAAATTTCAAAATTTGGGGGTGGAGTTCCAAACTGCAATGAAAGCAAATTTCAAAATCCTCTATGAAATGGAATTCCCACTCTCTGACATCCTCTATTTGCTCACAGGATGTGTGGAGCAGCATCAGTGAAAGCCTCCTCAAACCTTTACGCTGATGGCCTCAACTCTTTTCTAGAAGACCTACTTAGAACACAGCACTAAATGTATTGCCAATAGTGGTCTTGGCTTTTTGATGCAGATTTTAGGAGCTGATCTAAAGTCACTAATTAATTTCACATAGGGCACTGAATGATACTTTCTGTTCTCTTCTGACTCAGACTGTGCTTGAATGAATGAGACAACAATTACAGGCTTTATAGTGTTACCAATCTCTGGAGCCATCCACTATCCCAAAGGTCTTCATCTAGATTGTACAACTGATGGGATACTACATTACATTTTCGAGCTGATGGTGAGTTTACAGATTAAGAAAACAGAATTTGTTTTCTAAAACTATTGACTGGATTAAAAATCTTAAAACACTAGATAAACCTTGCTACCTAGAAAAAACAATTATATATAATGCAGACACATACACAAACCTGCAAGCACACTGTGTGGCAGACTCTGATCATTAGTAACAATGGTGAAAAAAATGTAGGATAACTCTCCATGTCAAAGGAATTACTCTGGATTTACACAGATGTAACTGAGGTCAGAATCCATCCCAGGAACAACAATTTTATAAATGATTAACTCTACAAAGTATTCAATATATACATGAATTTCCATGAATTTAATTTCAACTAAACTAGCTGGCTGTGTATTGTACTTATTAGAAGAACATTGTATGCCATGGTTTTTTATTTAATTTCTTAATTGCAGAAGAATTACTGTGTGCTGTGGTTCATGTAATCTGGGGAGTATCTCTGTACTCTAGAAAGAAAAGGGTTTGTGTCAAGGCGAAACTAAACACACATCTGCAATCAAAGTTTGTTTATAACTTCTGACACTGTTCAGTCAGTTATGCAGCCGTTTCACTAAACAAACAAGTAGAAAGCAGGTCAATGTCCAAACACTGGAGTGAAGCTTATTTAAGTTTCATGAAAACTGTTAAAGGAATAAAGCCTTAAGCAAAACAAATTGCTTCTGTAGCAAATGAAAACACATGTGACTCTCTGGACCTCATTCTTGTCTGGGTGTTACTCAGTTGGCTGCCATTGCCTTCCACGAGGGTGATTTTGGCTCAGTGCCGGAATATAATACAGTAAATTACAATTTTGCTTTTTTGCATTGGCATGTTTGTTGCAGAATCAACAGCATGAATCTTTATAAATTCATTGTTTTGTGTTCATACATCGTAAGGTGCATGTCATAACCATCTTCCTTCAACATAGCAGAAGATGGAGACAGGAAACAAACTGAAACCTTATGATTAACCCATTAAGTGTCACCATAAAGGGGACAGCTGGCTGAGCCACTGCAATTTCTGTTCCTCTCTGACCCTAGTTCAGCAAAGCATTTTAACCTAATATTCTCTAAGCATTTTACCTTTGGGAGTTAGTTATCTATTTTACGTATTTATATGGCCCCTCGATACTGTACGATCTGAGCACTCACCTCACAGGAAATTGAACCTATGTCTCCCAAGTCCCAAGCTAGCACATGAACGACTGGATCACACTTCATCTCTAGTTGAGCGCTACCCTTCAAAAGGCTCAAGAACAGACATGCCACGCCCGTGAAAAAAACGCAGAAATTGGGCTTGTTTTTGGCTTAATTGGCTTGTGAATTGCTTATTGGCTAGTTTTTGACTTGTAGCTTGTTTGGCTTGTTGTAGCTTGTTGCTTCTTTTTTTTGATCAGCTCGTGGCAAGCAGGGGGAAGGGGCAGGGCAAGCAGGGGCAAGGAGGGGAGAGTCAGGAGTGCACAGCGGGCCCACCACAGTCCCAGACTGCACGCCAGGGGGATCTAGTCACATAGAGTGTTGGGGTTCTTAGGGATTGGCTTGTTTCAGCCTTATTTTGAAATGGGATTAGCTTGATTTTTGGTTTATTGTGAAAGTCGGGATGCTTATTTACCGCATGAAAGTTGGCAACTGTGCTCCTGAAGGGTCAAAAGAACCACTGGAATTGGAGCAAACCCTTTCTCATCCATTGCTCTTGCAAACTCCTGCATTTTTACACAGGTAATTGCACATATAAGCAGATAAGCAATCAGTCAGCTGATGCGCATATGCAAATATCCATTTGTTCATACATTTTGCATGGACAACCTGCTGCAACACTCTTTGAAAACATGATCCTTTGATTTAATAGTTCCTCCTTCCAAACTAGAAAGCTCAGTACAAAAACCCTCCATCTGATCATATTAAACACTTTCTATTTTAAAAAAATTCTATATATTGCCTTCTTACCTTTTTTTTTCAGGTCAACAAGAACTGGCCTACTATTGAAAATGGATGGAAAAATATTATTATTATAGAAGCTGGAGAAGTAAGAGTCTATTAATCCACTCTCTGCCCAAGCAGGATTGTTCCCTAAAGTACATTCTCGAGTACTTCGTCCATTATAGATTCAAATGACTCAAGTGATTCCCTAGTTTTATTACCAACAATTATATTGACCCAGATGTTGGTAACTTTATTGATGACCATAATGTTTAAGCTCAGCTATTTTTGAATAAATTTTGATTTCCTCTCACTTGTTAATGGCTCTTCTTTCTCTCCACTATTTATTTGCCTCCACTTATATTTGTAAACACTCCCTTTAGCCCCGTTGACTGAATTAATCCCAATTATTCAGTGGGAGCAAAGTTAAGTTAACGTCGAGTGTTTTTGAAAATCTCCCCCTTAAAATATAAATCATTATCTCACAAAACTAACGCAACTTGCTCATGTGGCTACATTCCAATGGGAGTGGACAAGGTACGTCTATACATTTGACTGCCTTTGGTTCCAGGAAGATCATAGTATATGAAGTCTGAGTTTCAGACAACACTCATCTGAGCAAGTTGGTGGTCAACGCTTGTAACAAGCAAATGGCTTTCTCATCAGCCATTACAATAGACTGGTTTGGGCAAAAAAATAAACAAAAATAAACAAAAACAAAACTACCCCACCCTTCACAAACCATATAAGACTCCCACGGAAAACTTATGAAAGGATTTTGCTGGTAATTCAATCTGAAAAGGTATAGTAGTGTACAACTGCACACCTCAGTACAGAACCACTCTGTCTTTACAGCTGTTTTCTTATGACTCCACTTTCAGTGGTGTGGTCCATGCTGGGCAGCTCAGTGCAGAAAGATGCAAAGAAATGGGAGGGAATGCTGACAAAGCAACAAGCATGACTGCAGGATGGGAGGGAAAGGATAAAACAGGTAAGTGTGTATTGCTTAGCTTAACAAGGAGGGTGACATAACTGTACCTCTTAGACAAGTGAGGAATTGTTCAGGGGGTTACAAGAGCATCTAACCAGGAACCACAGAACAAAATTAAGAAAAACAAACTATAGGGCAAATATCAAGAAAAGCTTCCAATCATTGAGATCTAGCAGCCTGGAGAATGCTGTCCCCAGGGAACTGGTGGGGCATAAAACTAGACTGGAGAGACCACAAATCAGTTAGGTGAATAGGACTATCCATGTACTTAAGTGCTTTGCTACAACTTCATCTTTTAAGGCCCAAACCTGAGATGCTTATTCAGTTTTTATGCAGGAAAATTCCCACTGACTTTAATGGGAATTTGCTAGAGAAAGAGTCTTAGGATCAAGTCCTTAGGCTGTAGGTGGGAACTGTCTTTGTTTTTGGATACTGTACAGTGCTAAGCTTTCTGCCAGCATTAAACAAATGATAATAATAGCTAGTAAATCTAGCCAATCTAGCCATCCTGCACTGACAGAGAGATGAAACAGCTAAAATAACAAGCCTTGCCCACCTCTAATTTCTCGGCTTCTGTGATTTAAACACTAAAAGTGATTTTCTAATAATTAAAATAACTCAAGAATTTGGTTTAAAATATTATTTGCTTTCCTTGCAGAAATAGCACATCAAACAAAAAGAGCACTTTTCAGCTAACATACACATGCAATAAAAGAAAATCTAAGAGGAAGTATTTAAACATTTTTCTTTCTGTTAGGCCATTTCAGTTTCCTACCCAACATCCAGACAGGGGGAAACGAATGGAGAAATTAAATGGGTCATATAAAAAAAATGAAGAAAGAAACAAAAAGAATGAGAAGAAGATTGCTTTTCAGTGTGCTTATGCATTTCCGGGCTCGAAATAATTGGCTCACAAGAAAGAAGCTCCCATTTTAACCTTTTCAAGTTTCCTTAAATATTTTTCAGCATATTATTACAGTTGCAAATTTGAGCACTCATTTTGAATTATTTGTGTTATAGTAGCACCAAGGGACACCAACTGAGATCATTGCCCATTGTGCTAGCACCATCCAAACACATAAAAAAAAGCTGAGATTCTGTGAGTAATGGGACTACTCACAATGTGTAAAGTTAAGCATGGGTATGATCAGGGCCTAAGATACAAGAGACAAAGGATAGAAGAAAGGGAGTTTTATTATCCCTGACTGCTCACTTGCTCTTCCCACTTTTCTAATGCAACATCATTTAATTTTATCTGTAGTATAGTATTGAACTATAGTAAAGAACAATATTATCAGACATAGATAAATACTAATTGCTGTGGAAGAGTCAACATGGCTTTTGTAAAGGAAGTCATGCCTCATTGGTCTATTAGAATTCTTTTGAGAGAGTCAACAAGCATGTGGATCAGAGTGATCCAATCAACATTGTGTACTTGGATTGTCATAAAGCCTTTGACAAGGTCTCTCGCCAAAGGCTCTTAAAGAAATTAAGTAGCCATGGAATAAGAGGGATGGATCTATCATGGATCAGTGACTGGTTGAAACAGGAAACAAATCGTAGGAATCAATGGTCAGTTTTCATAACGGAGAGAGATGAACAGCAGTGTCCCCCAAGGATCTGTACTGGGACCTGTGCAGTTCAACATATTCATTAATGATCTGGAAAAGGGGATAAACAGTGAAGTGGCAAACCTGGCAGATGATACAAAATTATTCAAAATAGTAAAACCCAAAGCAGACTACGAGGAGCTACAAAGGGATCTCACAAAACTGGGTGACTGAACAACAAAATGGCAGATGAAATTCAACATTGAAAAAAATGATCCCAACTATACATATACAATGATGGGTTCTAAATTAACTGTTAACCATCCCCGCCTCCAAGAATGAGATCTTGGAGTCACCATGATAGCTCTCTGCAAAATGCCACTCAATGCACAGCAGTGATCAAAAAGACTAACAGTATGTTAGGAATTACTAAGAAAGGGATAGAAATAACAGAAAATGTCATAATACCTCTATATAAATCCATGGTGTGCCCACACCTTGAATATTGGGCCTGGATCTGATTCTTCCCATCTCAAATAGGATACAGTGAAACTGGAAAATGTTCTGCAAAGGACAACACAGGTGATCGGGGCTATGGAATGGCTTCCCTACCAAGAGAGACCTTGGGAAAAAAAGACAGTTCAGCTTAGGAAAGAGACAACTAAGAGGAAACATGATAGAGGTCTACACAGTCATGAATGGTGCGGAGACAGTGAATATGAGAAGTGCTAATCACCCTTTCACACAATACAAAAACCAGGAGCCACCCAATGAAATGAATAGGCAGCAGGTTTAATACAAACAAGAAGTACTTTTTTCACACACGCACAACTATCCTGTGTAACTGATTGCCATGGGATGTTGTGATGGCCAAAAGTCTCTGGATAAGTTCATGGAGGATAGGTCCATCAAAGGCTATTAGCCAAAATGGTCAGAGACACAATCCCATGCTCAGGGTAACCCTAAACCTTTGACTACCAGAAGTTGGGAATGGAACATAGAGGTGGGTCACTCCATAACTGCCCTGTTTTGCACACTCCCCGTGAAGTTTTGGTATGGGCCACTGTCAGAGACAAGATACTGGGCAAGATGAACCATGGTCAAGTATGGTAGCTCAGATGTTCTTATGTTAAAGCACAGAGGTGAGCATTACTTTTGTAAGCATTTCTAGCTAATATTAGGAAACATAATCTATGGGCAAAAAGAAAAGGAGTACTTGTGGTACCTTAGAGACTAACCAATTTATTTGAGCATGAGCTTTCGTGAGCTACAGCTCACTTCATCGGATACACTATATTTCTGGGAGCCAGGCCTTCCTGAGCATTCAAAAATCATGAGTCAGGTGCCAGAAATTTTGAGATTGGCTTAAAAATCATGAGGGTTTTTTTTTTAAATAGTAAAATTGGAATTCTTTTTATTTGTCTTCTGGTTTCTGGGCCTCACAGTGCACTTGGGTTACTGTCAGGCTTTTCTCCACAAACAGGAGAGCTAGAAACATATGTTTTTAAAATGAAAGCTGAGATTCTTTGATGATCACATGCCTCCAGGAGCTGGAGCTTTAAGAAAAACATCAAATAGCATGAGACTTGCACTAAAATCCTAAGGGCTGGCAACACCATTTTTGGGAAGATCACTCACATGTGGAAAATGGGGGCAGTAATATCTGCTTCAAAGGGGTGTCATAAGGATTGGCCAGTTAATATTTGTAAAGCCCTTTGAAGATGAAATTTGCTAATCATTACTATTATTAAGGAGGAAGCCAAGGTATCTAATTGTTTTACAAATAAAACTGCCCTTTAGAGAAACAGCATTGGAAGGAAAAAATTGAGCTCTGGATTATTGAATGGTAAAGAAGAGGCTTTTAAACACAGTCATATATAGGGTGACCAGATAGCAAGTGTGAAAAATCGGGACAGGGGGTTGGGGGTAATAGGTGCCTATATAAGAAAAAAGTGCCAAATATCGGGACTGTCCCAGTAAAATCAGGACATCTGGTCACCCTAGCCATAAATCATTCAGAATGAAAATGATTCTGCTGCCAGCATTGCCTGCCGCAAGCTGAGATCAAAAACTCTGAAAGTGATCACATGTGGACCTCATGCTCTCCTGTCATGCCTTCTTCTGTCTGTCTCTCCTCCCTTCCTTTTCTGTGTGGAACTGTATGTAATCACCCTATAAACAGAGTTTGCCCTAATGTTTGGCTACATCATGGCTCCAGACCTGGCCATTGAGCCTGGACATTATCCTGCCTTAATTTCAGGACAGGGCATATGGCAACAGTGTTTAATGTTTGCAATAAGCACAGATAATCTCCCAGGTGAGGAACAGATTTGGTCTAAACACGCAGAAAAAATATATTAGGCCCTCTGGGCATGTCCTAAGCCGGTGAAAATTGTCACAGCTCCATCGACTTTAATGGAGCTACAAGAGTTTACATAATTGAGGATCTGGCCCCTTGCCTTTAGTGGATGTAGGGTCAGACTCATTTTACACACAATATGACTAACTGGAATTCTTTGGTTCATTTCTCTTTCAGATTCAAAATGATGGGAACAGTGTGTGTGTAAATGAGAAAACTAGTAAGAAAAGCTACCACTGAGTCTCTGGTATATAGTGTCCTCTATATACGAATAGAAACATGAGGCGACTTGGCTTTGTATTATAGCATAATCTGGCAGTGAATGGGGCTCTTTTGGTCTCCCTCTGAGTCTTGGATTGCTTTTGTGAGATCGTTTCACAACTAATCATTACCTGTTTCATCAGAAGATT